CCGTGCCCCTTTAAGGGGTCCGGGGCCGGGAGGGGGGCATAGAGTTTCCCTGGTGTTGGCCAGAGTGGCCACCAGGGAAACCTGGGAAGCCTTAGCCTCCCCCTAGTTCGAACTAAAGGGCTACACAGCCCTTAGTTCGAACTAGCTAGTTCGAACTAGGCGTTAGTCCTCGTAAAATGAGGTTTACCTAGTTCGAACTAAGCGCTCCGCTAGTTCGATTCAAATTCGAACTAGCGGAGCGCTAGTGTAGCACCTATTAAAGTTAGTTCGAACTAACGTCCGTTAGTTCGAACTAACTTTGTAGTGTAGACATACCCTTCGTTCTATCACATGGATACGTACCGATTTGTATTTTGTGTTAGGTATAGAAGTGGTTTTCAAGTAAAGGTAATGGTACCATACAGGTGACTGTTTGCTCACTCGGTAGCAAACAGTACTGTGATTTGAGAGAATAAACACCTCCCAAAGAACTGGGAGCAGCTTCCATACTTGTTAAATCATGTTACAGGAGCTTTAACGTAACTTTAGCCCAGTGGGAATTATTAGCCCATCAGAGGGGAGCAGAAGTTTGATAGGTTGCAGCACACACACAGTCAGAAGAACAATGAGTCTAGAGTGGTGAAAACTCAGACAGATGGCAGAGCTTTGTGATTCACTCTTTGTGTTTACCCTTGTCATTTACAGAATTTTGGTACCTGGGCTTGCTTCTTCAAGGGGCTGCTGTGTATTCCCATATCGGAGTCAAAAAACCTCCCGCTTTTATGGCCTCAGGATTGTATGGGAGTGGTGAATGCCCTATAGAAGTTTCTGAAAGCTCACAGCATAGGCACATTAATGCAAAAAGTGGGACTATGCAGAAGTAGCACTGTTGAATAACTTCTGTTACTGGAAAGTAACTTCTCTTTTCTCATTAGGGAAGCTGCTTAATAATCAACCACTTTTTGAGCCTGAATTTTTAAAGGAAGATTTTCTTTGCTGATCTTACATACCCCTTAGTTTTGAGATTTTAACTGTCTCTAGTACAACATGGATCTTTGTCCATCCCTCCCCCTTTCCCTGGCTGCAGTAAGATGTTAATGATCCTGTTATAGCTAGGATACCAGTGCTATGTCTACATTGCTGCAATAGGTTGGACTTCAGGAGTGTGACTAACAAGTGCTGCACTGTCATTCCCCTGTGTGGGTGTTGGGGTGCAAACTAAAAGGGGCCTAATTGATATTAATATATTTCAGGTGTTCACTGCTATTCACATCCCCATAGTCTGAGCTGCAAGTCAGTGAAGACAAGCCCTAGGTCCTTTAGCTCAAGCAGAAAAGGCTCATACTTTAAGAAGAAGAGGTCTTGGGTACAAGCTCTGATGATAGCCCAGGGAGCTGGTGACAAGTACATTAACAGCAATATAGAAAATCTTGATAAATAGAGTGAGTGCAAATATGCACCAGGGTAAAAGACAGCCAAATCCTGTTCAACTTCCTTAAACAGTGCAGCTAAAGTCACATGGGTAAAACAAAATGGATATTGGCCAAAGATCTGAGTTTTGTTGCAAAACACAAAACCATTCAAGCTTCATGTGGCTTTGTTTACTTACAAACATTTTGTTTAGTTCTGGTTCTGAAGGTTATAATACATCTAATCTTTATAAAACCAGTGATAAGATCTGGTTTTTCAGCTACAAGGGAGGTCAAGATACTGGATCAAATTAAATATTAAGGTTCACTATATAAACTTCTCCAGTCCAGCACTCTCTGGTTTGGCACATCCATGGGCCAGCATGATTTTAGTTAGCCAAATGTCCACTTATTATGAATGTGGCAAAGTTTCCTGCAATTCCATAAAGTTTGTTTACAGCCACTAATCCTGACTCTCAGTGTTCTGTGCTTCTGTTTAGCTCTAATTTACCCCTAAATGTCTTCTAAGAGCCCAGTAAGCAGTGGAAGTGATGATAATGCTGCTAGATAATATTGACCTTCCATAGTTGGGCAAATTTTCTGTTTCAGCACCAGTCAGATCTTAAGGGTGCCAGACTAGAGAGATTTGACATGTACTTTATAAAGGGTTAATAAATGATAGATAAATATTTTAATAAAAGATTAATCAATTGTTAGAGTCCAGTAGGTCAATAGATAGTTTATAGGGCAGTCAAGCAATTAAAAATTAATCACAATCAATGGAACAAATTAAAAAATATAATTGTGATGTTAAACAATAATAGAATATCATTTATTGAAATATGTTGAATGTTTGCTACATTTTCAAATATACTGATTTCAGTTAGAACACAGAGTATAAAGGACCTGCTGCTCACTTTATATTTATTATTATTACAAATACTTCACTGCAAAAGAGCTAGTATTTTAGTTCACCTAGTTCAAATACTAGAGTGCCATCTCCTTATGAAAGTTGAACATACAAATGTAGAATTACATGTACAAAAATAACTGCATTCAAAAATAAAACATTATAGCCTACAAGTCTACTCACTCCTACTTCATGTTCAGCCAATTGCTCAGACAAACATGTTAGCAGGGGATAATGCAGCCTACTTTTTGTTTCCAATGACACCTTGTAACCCCCTTTTAGGTACTTGAACGCTGCTGTGTCCCCTCTCAGTCTTCTTTTTTTCAAATTAAACAAACCCAATTATTTCCATCTTCCCTCAAAGGTCATGTTTTCTAGACCTTCATTTGCTTTTGTTACTTTTCTCTGGCCCCTCTCCAATTTCTCCACATCTTTCTTGAAATGTGATACCCAGAACCGGACACAATACACCAATTGAGGCCTAATCAGCTCAGAGTAGAGCAGAAGAATGACTTCTCGTATCTTGCTCACAACACTCCTATTATTCTGTTCTTCACAATGTTTTAAAAGAATAATAAAATTGCTGTTCCTCTTTCCATTAGTTTGGCTTTGTTAGAGTACAATGTGATCTCTGATTTGGAGCTATATAAATCTTTTTCTAAGCCCATGGTACTTTATAGGAAGAATTGTGCAGTGAATCATTCGGTGGTATCAGTAAGTAATTCAAATATAATATACTCTGTGATACAACTGGTGCAGTTTCTTACCTGAGGAAAATCTGGATCTAAAAATAAAATGGTCACAGTTTGTATTTCTGGTAGGTGTGCACACATTCTCTGCAAACTACTCTCTCCACTAGAAAACAATTGTACTTGGTGCGGAGTAACTAGCACCTGCTTGTGTCTAAGTTTATTTACAGCATGCATCATCAGCACAAATTGTATAGTGTACTGGTATTCAAATTAGATTTATAGGTTTAAAATATGTAAAAGCTCTGTCTTTTATGGAATTCAATTAAATGCTGCCAGTACTAAAACATATTTGGAATTTCTAAATATTGTAGATGACAAAGTCAATTACAGATGGCAATACTCAAAAAAACATTCTTCGGTGTTGGATGCAATCTTAGATCTCATTTTGATAGACAAAAGAGGATTTAATCACAGAACAATTGTTCCCACTGTTTCCTGGGGATTACTCATATCCGAAAGAACGGT